ATATATATTACTCCATGGCTCTAAATACAAACTCTTGAGCAAGGTTTATAATGTTAGTTGTCAAACTTTATCCATTTGTTGGTCAAAGTTGGTGGTTACTGAACATGAAATATACTTTCCACAGAAAACATACATAGGGCTGACATTCACTCATAATCACTTTCCCGCCAACTTTTGATAGCATTTTCTCGGGTATATCGCAAGGACTGTAATAGTCGCTGTGTTCAACGGCACTGTAAATAGAGTAAATTCTCAGATTTTGCACTTCTGGGGAATATAAGTTCATTTGGCCTAACCTTATAAACAGTAGAAGCATATCATCGAAACAGCTTACAATTGCACTCGTAGTTTGATGTAAGTTCGTATACTGCCGCTTCCGCCACATGCTGAGCACGGTTTTTTCCCATGTCCTTTGCAACGAGAACACTCACGAATGCCGCGACCTTGACAGAAGTGGCATAAGTCATGATGACCGATACCGGGTGGTGGAACCCCAGCTCGGGTCATAAAATGGACCGGTGTACCTACGCCATATGCTAGACCTCCTGATGTAGGCCGTACGATGGCAGTACCTGAGCCTGGATAACCTCGACTCAAGTCCGACTGAAAGTACATGAGATTTACAATTAGTAATATTGTTCTTATGATAATATTCGCTTTTTCATCCAGCAACTATAAGAAGAAATCTTTGATCTTTAAAAAATAATAAATTGCAGAAAGTTAATAGCAATTTTTAGTAGATTCAAAATATTCAAAACCGACATGAGGAAAGGCAGCAACCATCGGATGGGTATAAATAGCTGGATGAGCGACTCCTGTTTTCATACCCGTTCCTCTGCAATTGTGATTAACGAAACGAGACAACATATGCGATTTATCATTAAACAATGTTAATATGTCTAAAAATTACTAAACCCTAACCCACCATTGAATTTGACCGGATGGTTTAATAATCAGCGTCACAGATTTTCGAAAATGTAATCGTGTCCTGCATGCAGCCACATATCATTAGAGCCTTGACAGAGTTTTTTTGCTGAATATTGCTAAGTAGCTTAAAACATGATTACCATCCGATGTTTTCAAGCAATGCATTTTCAGTATATGTCATTATAATTTTGCCCAAATTTCTTGCAACAAATTTTGACGAAATGTGCAAGATTACCTACAACAGGTGCATTTGTCAGTACCATAACCACGACAATAGAAACAGTGTGTCAAACCTTCTGCATTACAGGAATGACAAGCCATCAGCTCGCTTGTGCCTGGCATTTCCAACACTTTCACCTACAACATTTATACTGGTTTTCACTTAGATTATGAAATGAAAAATTCCAGTTTCATACAGGTCGGGCTGGGGAAAGGACAGAACGAATACTTCCTTTGTTCAAAAAGTTAAGTCGAAGGAAGCCTGGAGGATAGGTAGAGTTCACGAGAGAAAATAAACCTGTGCGACGAAATCTTCAGGTGGGTCCATCGCATAGTCCCATGGATTTGAACCTATATTTACAGTGCCAAAAGCACTTTGTTGTTGCTGCAGAAACTGTCCAAGCGTGACACCTTCTACTGCTTTGCTCGTACTTCGCATTTCAGTGAAGCTTTCCATAACATACTGAAAATAGTTCTTTATCTGCAAATCATTACTTTCTTTCATGGTCGTGTGGATGATGAAAGAAATTTTGGAAATAGAGGCAACACAGCAGATTTCTGACTTATACTTAATTGAGCAAAAGCAATACCATTAAATGCAAAATATTATTTCGAAACAATTTTTGCTGAATAACTAATAACGTTATTCATAAAATTTTAACGGAAAAATGATATAGTTTGAAATGTTAAGCCTTTTTTTTTCGAGTATTAATATGTTATGATCTGTATTTCAAAGCGCTATAGCACTTTTTTGTGCTCAAAGTGATAGCTAAGGGATTTAACCACTACTGAAAAATGAACTGCCACAGCAGAGAATCTGATTTTACCTAATAATAAGAAAAATTCGTAACTTTTAGAATTTCTTCCCACTAATCTTTGTAAATAACTCACAAAATCAACTGGATTAAATGCATAATTAACTTGCCGTAATACGAAGAATGTAAGCTTACATGTAAGCAGGCACTGCTGTCGATCCGATTAATTATCATTTTTGTGACAGCACTAGCTTTCCAATATTTGTGACGTTTTGTCTCATTTCGCAATGCCGCCCGCACAGCATCTTCTGTTACCTCAGGCAAATTATCAAACTGATGAACTGAAGAACCCTGTTCTGCAAATGTTTGCTGGTTATGATCCAGAACCAACAGATTTTTGGTAAATGAAATTCAGAAATAAACTTCTTCATAATTGTGGATTTTAAATAAGCAGAGTATTTGTTCAAATCCAATAAAAATGAGGCTTAAAGGAGTCGAATCAAACCTATTGCACTTTTAAGGAACTTTGTATGAAGTTACAATGCAGCGAATTAAAGTCCGATTTCAAAACACTTACCAAAAAGACGTTGTCTTTCTTTTTCATCTGTTTCAAATGAAGGCGGTGGTACTACATCGAATTGGTGCTTATCCGTTTTCTGGAAACTTTGATTGTCCGCCATTCAATACGCTCCAAAAAAGCAACTTATCAAGTTTTTATTTTCATCGATCCTACTGCTTCCGAAACTGACTGCGCCTCATCCATGATCCTTTTCACACCCTCCAACGCAATCTATTTATCCTTTTTCTCTCTTCCTGTAATGATGATAATAACGCATCTTATTAAGTTCATATTTCACATGCAACTACACTCTTTTTCACTTGAAAATTTAGCGTTAATGAACGGAATTATGAAATATCTTACTGCAAGTCTCGAAGAATGACGTTTTAAAAAACTGTTGCAACCAATGAAATGCATTACAATCAGCGGACCAAATACTAACAGAACTAAGATAATTATTTTCATAGAGCAAAAGTAATTTTAAAAGGTGGATATTTTGGAGAGGAAAATCTTCCTTAATTCAATAACTCTTTAGATAAAGTTCTCCAACAGGTGAATGAGGCTTTTAAAGTGCTATATTGTAATCATGCAACTTACAAAGTAAAAGAAAACTAATTTAGGAATTTAAGTAACAAGTGGTAAAAGAGGAAAGGAATGATGTAGAACAAACTATATAAGTGATGATGAAAAGAATTTTTAAAAACTGATGGAGAATAAAGATAGATGATATATGTATGAATCAGATTACTATATAATAAAACGAAAATTAAAATTGATCAGTACCATTCAAGGGAATGAAAATAATATTTTTAAACTGCAGATTCAGCTTACAGTAGTACAATTTTTCACAAAATACATTGGACAACCAGGCATTATTTACAAATAAAAGACTTGATCTTTTGTATGAATGTAATCCACTATAATCATAAAAACATTATTTATGGCTGAAAGTTGGTTGTTAGTTCTATTCAAGCATACATTTCGAGAATATTGGTCTCCCTGCTTTTGTAGCACTTTTACAACCAAGCTTTTAGTGGTCGACCACTATCATTTGCTGTGCTGCATAAAGGTACTTAAGAAACTTCAGACCCTTAAATAAATAATTAAAACTGACCATTGCAGAAATATTATTGGGAGTGCAACAACATGAAAGCCGGCCTAACATACCAATGGATCTTAACAACAAGCAACCATGCGATCAAGTTCTTCCATATCTGAACTAGCTAAAAGAATTCCAATTGTACTAGAACTATAGAGCTAAAGAAAAAAGGAGTTAAAAATTATTTAAGCTATTATAAATACTCCGAAACCAACCACAATGAAATAATGGAAAAAGCGCTTTATGCATTATAACAACCCTTCATTGAAGAGAGATAAAATGTATCACAACAATTAGCGAATTTGTTCATATTCTAAAATCGATTTCACAATTCTATCAAAAATTACCTATTATTAGTTCTCATTTTCATGATTTCCTGAAGTAGAATATTGCTTTTTCTGTTAGAAATATGAGCAATTTGCTTTACTAATGTTTATAAGCAGATAAGCCAATTGTTTATAACATTGAGATAACGTTATTTTCAATTAGTTTTATTGATTGAAAAATAATAAAGCTACAAAGTTGTCAAGCTTGGATAAATCGCCTCATCAACAGCAATAAAAAGTTACAATGCTTCCAATTCCTAACCGAATATTGCTTCCCTGATTTTTTCATTTTAGAATGAGACCTTTTAAGGGAAGTAAAGAAACAATAAGAACGGACAATAAAAAGGAAAATGAAATTTCCGGCTTAATTGTTTCCGTCGCTTTATTGCTTCAAGCCAACTTGCATGTTATTACTAAATGCTGTGCTTCAAAATATTTTACTGCAAAAACAACATATCAGATTGGGTATCATTTCGTTTGCATTTTCGATTTCATTCAGCAACAAATCTAATTTTCGCACAATTGACACAACAGCAGTAATGATTTATGGAAATATTTCGGCGAAGGAGTATTAAGTCTCTCAATTTCATTAATTATAACAAGCTATCCACATTCAGACAAATGTGCTTTTCATGGGGAATTAAATAAATTGATTCATATAATGAACGATAAGAAAATAAACTTTTCACAAACACTGATGAACAACTCTTTAAATGGACGAAGAATGTTTTCACCAAATTCTCTAGCCTCCAAATATTCATCAAGATCAATATGGTAGATTGCACATGAAGCGCAAAACACTTTCAGACTAAGAAACAAGTATATTCGTATCAAGCTCTAGTATAACTCTTATCTGCTCTATTCTTGTTTTCTCTTTTTCTCTCTCTTGATGAAACTAAATAAGTTGGTTGCCTCTTACCATTGTATGAAACAATATTGTCGTTAGTTTAGTTTAAATAATATGCTCGAACTTAACTGAAGTCAAAAATTTGAATGAAAATTAAAATGATGCTAGTACACAACTTTAACTTCCTATGCTCTCTAGGTTGTATCCCTATGGAACAAGAATTTTCTTTACAATCAACTTCAATAGAAGTTAATGACGTCATTCGGAGTATATCTAATGATTTTGAAAAGGATGTAAAGTTTTCCGTGCTGAGGCAACAAATATTGAAAGCCTTTTCGTAGTAATGCCGAAATATAACATCTTTCTCGGCAATAGAATCTTCTTGTTTGAAAAATATTTGCTGCAAGCCAAGGCAAAATACGGCATCTTCCTTCATTCCCTCTGAAAAAGACACATAATGTTTGTGACAGAAACACGATTTTATTTAATTATTTTATAAAATGAATTTAATTAACCAAAATAATGAGGATAGAATGGATGGGTATGAAATATGATAAAGGTGTCAAAAAGTTAACTTATCAGTAGATGTATATATGAATCTCTTTTTTTCTTTATAATTCATTCCATAGAGTGCCAACAATTTTGCAAAATATTTATTTCAAATTGAGAAGGGAGAAAAAAATATGAATGTGATAATTGCCATAGCGAATAAGTATAGTGCATTCTAAGTGAAGTAAAGATTCGGATAGGAAAGGAAATAAATGTAAAGTTGATAAAAGTATTTTTGATTTAAGTGTACTTTTTAATGGAAATGAAATCCAAAAAAGAGATGAATTCTCTGTTCTTTTCTCTGAAATTGATAAAGAACTTATTGAATATTCTAGAAGTTAAAAAAGATAGGAAGAAGAAAAGGAACGGTGAAAATAGAAATTGAGCAATGGCTCAAATTATGATACATTGAAATTGAAATTGATAAATTGCCGTTATTTCTTACTCTTATATTGAACTTCAATTAATTAAGATGAAGAAAAAAGGTGGCTTACTACGGAATCATACACTTTAACTTTCAATCTTTTCTTCATTCACTTTCCAAGAAAGAAGATCATCAAAAGAGAAACAATTTCGAAAAAGCAAAAGAAAATATTTTCTATACTAAAGGAAAAAACTAAACATGCTACTAGCAAAGTGTTGCAATTTTCAATCTTATTTCGAGCAACTTTGCTGCAAGTTTTATTGACAATTCGAACTTCAGAAAGGCAAATTAAAACAATCCAGCGGCAAGAATAGTGAAAGAATAATTGGAGATATTCTCATCAAAGAAAAAGAAATGGAAATGAATGAAAGCATAAAAGCATGCAGAGAATAATGACGTACGAAATTTCAGTTTTCCAATTTTCGATTTTTTAGATAATTGTATTGTACAGCTGCCATAACTTTAAAAGAAATAACTATGCATAGACTACTGCATATGAGATGCATGAAGTGGTGCAAATACTGCATGTCAGCGCCTAAAGTATGATATTTCCCGAATAAATATGGAACAATTAGCCAATAACTGAATAAAGTTGATCAAATAACGGAACGGTACCATCTGTCTCATTCCTCCGTTGTTAGGCTTGTTGGAAACTTGAAACTTGAGCCTAACGTACTTTAGTAAATGACTGTTCTGAACTGCTACAACATTCTTTTTTTTGCAGGCCTTCCAGAAAACAAACAAATGAGAACAATGCTTTTATAACCGAAGTGAATGATAGATCCAAACAATAAAAAAATATTTCTTTCTTCAAAAAGATCAAAATTTTAGCCTTTTTGCCGAATTTACAGCTTATGGATAATATACTGATTCCTTTTCGTGCGCAAAAGAGCAATATTTTCGGATTAAAGAGAAAGAGAAAAAAAAACTAAATTATTAAATATTTGGTTTGGAACTGGATGGCAAAAAAACTCAATGAGAAAACTTTATCTTTCGGAAAGTAACTAAAAGTTCTTCAACTTTCTCCGAAACAAGTGACCTCCGAAGGAATAAAAATAAAAGACTTTCTTTATCAATAGAAATTAATGGATGGAATTCGATGAAAGATAGCTTAGTGTTGGTCAGCACATATGGCGATGAAATAAGATGGACTTGAAGTGGGACTAAAGCGAGAAGCTTCAACTATCGCTGACGAGATCATCCATAGTTATACGCTTTTACAGCTGTCCATCGGAACAATCCTTCCCACCTCTTCCTTCCCTACCTCCTCCATCTCACTTTTCCCTTACTTTTCCAGATTCCCATCCATTCGCAAATAATCCAAAAGATAGTAATCACGAGCCATAAATGAGATAAAGAACCAAGGTTAAGCAATCCCCCACGGAACTCACTTCCTATTGTGGAACCAAATCTGGCGGATCCAATGCAAGACACCGGTTCAGAGGCATTTTGATAGGGAAGAGTTGTTTTATTGAAAGACTATCAGTAAGTTTTTTGATGTGTTTTCGGGATTTATGGAGTCGAAACCGGAGGAGGCAATCAAAAAATTAGTTGGTTTAGCAATGCTCGCAGTGACTTTCCTCCGGTAAGAACTGTACATCATTTAAGCTATCCCATCCATAAGACGCAACGATTCATTTTTAAAATTTGCTGATGCATTTCAGTTGTCATAAATATTGTCACTTTTTTTGTAATCAATCGCTAATAATATCAAATGAAATAAAGAGGCACTATTAGTTATACTTAACAGATATCAGTTTGCATCTGTGCAAACTGATAAAGATTTTCTCGATGATGCTCGAAATCGCTGTCTTCCACAACTTCCACCATATCGTTTACCATCCGAACACTTTCCTCAATTTGTTTTCGGTTCCATGCTATTTCCAGCGTTACCAGTCTACCTGGATTATTTCATATTTCAGGTTCTGGCTCTCACCAAAATGTGTGTATAAAGCCAAAAGTGCCTACAATCAGAGAATAAACAATAGCTTAATCTAAATAATATTTAATGATTATTTCCTTGCTAAAGTTGAATTTCTTGGCGTAGTTTGAATAACGCAACAATTAACGATTTTTGAAAATCTTGAATGGTTATGCTTTTGTTTATTTGACATTAATTTATTGAATTCATCACCAAAAACAAATTTCTTATGTGGTGGTTAAGCTTATTTGTCATTTCTCAAAGTATATAAAATAAACCATGCAGTGATGGAAATTTACTGACCTAATAATTTGACATCCTTCTTGGATATAGACAAAAATGGAAACTCCTTTTTTCGAATTATCATATCTCTGGTTGTGATAAGCTGTGCACCTCGCGCTAATATCTCTTTTAAAAATTTTAATATGCGACCATAAAATGAAGCTAAAGCTTCGTTATCTCGCTTCATACATAAGATGAGCAATTTCTATAATATCAAAAGAAATCAGAGGCTGTAAAATTTCTCGAAAATTTTGTGAAAATTTCTCAAATACTAAAAAAAATTCGTTCTTGATATGTGCCAATCATTTTCTTCAAAATACTTTATTACGATGATTGAAAATTAATTTGTCTGACCTTGCCGGTAACTTTGTTTGCAACATTATACAAGGGAAGAACTGATAGTTCAGCGGTAAATTTAACGCTGTCAATATTTTTAACCATATCCATCTTGTTAATTTCATCGTATTCCTAAAAAAGAGTCGCACAACGTTTGATTCGTTGTTGTACTGAAAATATTAAATATCAATGTGGTTCAGTATGGGGAACCTGCCAAAAACTTTCTACGAAAATTAATCAACATATGAAAAGCGACGTTAATCAGTTAACGGCTTCGGTTAGGAATCGGATTCGCATTCCCTTAACATCATAAAACTGAAACATGCACAACAAATACTCTCCATTTTGTTTGGAAGAGAGTATTTTCTATGATATTCAAAAAAAATACATAATTAGTCTCAATATATCAGACTAGAACTTACTGTTAAGCAAATTTCAAAATTAGGAACATTTTCGGGTGTAAAATCGTGTACAATATTCCAGTTATTAATGAACGGGCTTAGTGATGCTTTCATCATATGCTCTGAAAGTATGGTACCATTTATATGGTACCTGGTTCCACTTGCGAATACTTATTATGATTATTTTCCGAAGATTAAAACCTTTCAAATCTAAAAAATTTGGGAAATTCCGTTATAATAAAAAAGTGCTCCAAAACTAGAATTTAAAAGCAAACCTTCGAGTTTGTTGTAATAAAGAGCAAGTGATCGAAATCGCATCAATTTACTTGATTCGATAATTGGTTTCGTAGTGCAGAACAGGAATACATCAATGTTAATGCAATCTCTACTCCGGAATTGTTGACAAATAGTAAACAATGTGATATTCTTGCAGTCTCGGATAAACACACTAAACTTTTGCACTTGAAAAATTTCATGAATTATCATAAAGGCTGAGTGGGCATTACATTTGTTTCTGTGATATAACATACGGATTTACGTGCTGTACCTGATAGGCTTATCCTACACATTTAACAAATCTTATACTTCCAACATCATGCTCAGCATGATATGCACTCTTTTAGAAGATATAATCACTCGATTAGGAATATTTCAAATATTTTCAAAACAAGTAAATTTTGTCATACTTAAAGAAATTGGGACAAAAAGTATTACATGAGGAAATAGTTAAAATTTTACTTAACCTTCCGCTGCAAGGGCCAGTAACAATGAGGCACTCCTCGCAATCATCAATATTCACTGCAGCCAAGTGATCAAGCAATAGTATGCAACATTTCTGAAATGATTTCCAACATTTGATCATTTACTTTATCTAGCCTTTTTTTCTCTTTTCAGGATGTTCTTTTCTTTTTTTACCTTCCTTTTATTATTATCATTGTTATCTAAAAAGATTTTAACTAACTTTGCATTTATCGACAATAAATTGCTCTCCGATAATTTGACCATCTGATTTAGTTGCAATTTCATCATAAAGATTGACGAAATGATAATCTGCTGGATTGGGTTTTTCTTTATCCCTAAATTTGTTATTTTGATGAAGTAATACTTAGACTTAATATTTTTAAAATATATAAATCCTTTGAAAAAGAATTCTCCAAAAAAAAAAATTTATGTATAAAAGATAACAGCAGGCAGACTTCAATTTAATTGATTTCATATTCTAATACATTAGAAATGTGGATTATAAAGCATTGCAAGGCCTACCTATGTAAGAGATTAAGTTCTCAATAAAGAATTTCTATATAATATATGTTCAAGTAAGATCACAACAAATATACAAAATATTGTACATGAATGAACATAATGTTTATCTTAAACATTTTTAAAAAATATATATATTAAAATTCATGCTGAATAATATGCTAACTAAAGTTAGAAAAACCGACCTGTAGACTGAAATTAATTAATACAAATTAATTGAATCACTAATTGATTACTTAATAAACAAATGAAAATACATGAAAAACGAAAAATTGAAGTACACCAAATTTCTACATACACATTGCTTATTGTTTCAACATCTATTTCATCCGGGAAAATAATGATGATTTATTTATTAAATAAATCCATTTAGAAAAATTGAACTCCCATTTACTTTACAATAAACTTCCAGTAGATGACAAAGGAGAGAAGTTCTTCACAAACATAACATTTCAAATATATTTCAATTTCTAAATTTATTTGGGATTGAACAAAACAAGAAATAATAATGCATAAATATGGTGTGTTGAATATATTAAGGGGAGAAGTTTTTGTTTTGGAAAATTTGATGTTCAACAAAAAAACGGCGCCAATACATTAAGATATCCATTAAAATCATTAACACTTAAGTTGGAATACTTATGATATCATATTTATAAACACGACAATATATGAAGCATAATTGTATCATATCGTGACAATCTATTTGTCATCTTTATAGGCTCCTTTTATTTATTATGGTCGTTGCGTGCTCAATAAAATATGTTTTTAAATAGCTCATTTTAACTTAGGCCAGAGAAAAAAGTTGTGACAAATTCTAAATGGACTGCGCAATAACGAAAATACTTAATGGTAACATGATTAAGATTCGGATATTCTTGAGCCTCTGAGATGTTAGCATGTGTCGACTGGTTCAGCTATTCTATAACACATCGTTTTGATGAGATTGTTGATTGATCACTTTCTTCTTCATTAGCGATTACCTCCTTCCGTGATGGTATTTTTGATTATATTTCTGCTATCTCAATAACATTGACCAATCATATCATTTCAACAAATAATGATCGAGTATTAAGCTGGTAATTAATAATAAAATTAAATACCACGAATATTGCTGGTGGTCATTATTCACGTGATACTCTTCTCCGCGTTTTGAACGTTTCCCAATTGAGCAGCACGAACGCAGCATTAGGAATGGGATTAGGAGGTTAACAAATCTAGGAATGATATTTCAGCAACGAGATTAACCACTAAACTTTGGGAAGATGTATATATAATTCATTAATATGTGGTGTAAAATAATCTGCAAACTGATGAGTTGTTGACGACATCGGCCACACTTGCTTGTGCTAAGTCCAGAATCACAGGACTGGTGAAGCACAGGGAAGGACAGATGGTGCCAGCTAGTAATTCGTTACCATGGCAATTACTTTATTGACCATTACAATATGCTTACTCGTCAATTCAATTAATGCAATAAATTATCTTTAATTTACGTGAAACAAATTACTCGGAAACTTTCATTCACTTTTATCATTAATAAACGATGAATTTTTTCTTATGTAAATTAATTTAAATACAATTCAACATCACGATCAAAGGAGACACACGTCTTGCAACAACATATGAAAACTCGACTAAATGTAAAAGGAAAATACATCACTAAGTCCCCAGAGAGAAAACAAGCAACATCGACCAAGCAATAATTGTGGGTATTATCCAATAATTTGTGGATATATCGATTAAACAATAATTGTGTCAATAGGCATCTTGAAATATGTTAATAGGCATTTTTCACTAATAATGTAAAAGCATTTTCCCAACATTTCAAAATGCGCCGGTCATAAATTAGTGCTACAGAATAAACCAAACCCATCAACCGTGCAAAAGTCTAGAAAAGAAAATGATGGAATTGCAGCACTTACGCATAAGAATTTCAGGATTTAATACACTCTAATGTTTGCAATTCTTTCCAAAATAAAAGTATTGTCATACTTTTACTAAGCATTTCCAACTGTCAACTTTGTCAGGAGTTCTTAACAATTAAATTCATTAAAGAACTTCAAATTTGACCATAAAATAAGGGATATTGACAAATAACGAATGCAATCAGTACACTTCGTTCACGTTGATATAACTGCTAATTGTGCGTGAAAATTCGATAAAAAGACTTTGAACCGTTCAAATTAGATACCGGTTACATTTACATTGTGGTATATATGAAGAAGAAAAGCTTTTTGTACACAAAAGGAGGAAAGAAATAAAGCAAAATCAGGATATCTGCACATGTACATTCTGAGATAAGCAGCAGTAACGGATATCTTCTACATATTATATATTTTAATTTCCTATCCATAACGATCGGATATTACTAGGATAACTGAATATTGCTAAAATGTATTCAATGGTCATGAAAAAGAAATTACAACCCACTCCCTTCTGAAGTGATCAATTATTGTTCGGAAAATCCTTGTTGGACGACATGTTGAGAGAAAAAACAACATTACAAAAATCCGAATGATCAATAAAATCACAGATGATAATATTGAAATAAGAAGGTTCATCAAAATTAGCAATCCAAGAAATGGCTTCTTCTGTACATTTCAAAGCGTATCCTTTTTCAAAAGTGGAAAATGGATGCATAAAGATATCAAACCATTTTACGGTCAAAATTGCTTGTGTTACAAAGAACACACACTTGGAACCTTGTCTGTGATCTCGTATTGTTCGATTAAGAAATTTAAATAATTGATCTCTTCGATTCACATTAGCATACGGGCTGATAATACAGCTAGAATCCCACATCCAGGATGTACTTCGATGAGTTGCTTTTCTTTCTTCTGATGATATGGCTATCACTTGATAACCCGATTGCCACATACTAACTAGGCTTATTTTAGTTATATCCTCTCCCCGTAAGCATAATTTTCGACCAAATACACTTTCCACCATTCTCAAAAATTTGATATACTTATCGCTATTAAAATTATAAAAATGGTTGAAATCAAGAATGACAATTTCTCTTGAATGACTGTCCAAGAAAGCATTTATACATAACAGAAGTTGTTCAATGCAGCTACCATAAAGAGCATGTAGAACACGTACTCCATTTACTTTGTCAGATAACGGTATTGTGAGTCTAATATCAAAGTAACGTACACCCGCATGAAGTTGCTTAACCACTGAATATCGTTGTGTTGTGGCCCACCGCCGGATGAAGCGTCGCACAATTCGGAATCGGCCAATTCCTCGGATAAATCGACCTTCGTCATTTGCTACGGGATATTTATCAAACAGTAGTTCTGTGAACGAATCATGTGATCCTCAAAATAGAAGCAGCATAACTGCATTTAACAATACAATCCCATTATGTTTTGGAATGTAGAGTAAACATGATGAGGTAAGAAATAAATTCACGCCTCTAGCTGGAACCCTTTTAGGTAGATTATGATTACTGCTGATACTCACCTATCATCAATACAAATGACTAAAGAATAAATTACTACTTTTACATCGACAAAAACTTAAGACACAAAGACTTTCTAATCAGTAAACAAAAACCTGGTATAGCAACACCAACAAGGGGTCTCTCAGTAACTTCCTGAGGCAGATTGGTCATCCAGTATTCACCGCTACATCGCATTTTATCGATTTTCAAGGACTTTTTATCCAATTCTTGTACTAAACAGTCGAATGAACTTTTTCACTACATTCCTATAAAGAAAAAACAAAGAACATTATTGCTAAAATACCCACAATGTAATAGGTACAGCAGTAATGATATGCTGAAATGTACGATTTACGTCAAGGCAATCAGATGATAGTCGTCAACTGGCTAGGGTATCCAATCAGTGTTTGTTACAAGATTTTCTAACTTACTGTTGCAGCACATCAAGCAGTATTTATGGTCGCTTATCCTAATATTATTTTCCAGCAACTCAATTAGCCTCACAAAAATGTTACCGCTATATGAAGATAACTTGCAGAAATGAAGTCACTGTTTAAAACTATGTCATGCTGTCCGGCTGCTTAGATAAATGAAGGATTCTTATGGATAGCTCTTTGATCTCTCACAATTTATTAATACCTGAAACTACACCCCTCCCACAGCTCACCAGAAATGGTGCAAAACTTTGCCAAACCAGCTCATACCGTCTAGCAGGAATTTGCTATTCATCGACCTGTTGTGTTACTTGGTGGTATGTATCGTCTGACAAATCGCTCTGTTTATTATGGAGAGAAAATTATTTGTTGAGAGATATGCCAAATTAATTACAGTGATAGAGTAGGTGGAAGACAAATTCGACGACTAATGCTATATTCATTTACTTCAGAAAAGTCACGAAAGTTCCTCCCGAATTTTCCTAGCGTATTTGTGAAATCTGGTGGAGTTTTCATGATCAAATCAAACAAAAAGTTCTTAATTTCGCATTTAGTGGTCACTTCGAATAATGTAGTGATTTTCAGTTTTTTGATGGAAAAATCTTCTTGATGGTAAAAATAATGGAAGATTGGAAAATGTATCACGTATATTGCAGTTTAATAATGCTGCAGATATTTAGAAGTTGTCCTAATAACTAAATTTTTTAACGTCTACTTTCAGGAATGGAGGAAGATTTCTTTATCACCGAATACATGAGCTGCGAACGAGATGAACTGAAATGTACGATAAAGAAGTTATATTCAGATTTTATTGTCAATGAAATCACCCCGGATGGAACTGTTCTTAGTAAGTTTATACCACACTACCTCGTAATTGATTGTTCGTTGCTATCTTTTTGTATTGTTTACTATGGCATTATATACAGTTCGAACTGTCAACCCTTATTTCACATGTCACTGTTTACATTATGTATTAAATTGCATTTATATGTGATCAAAAAGTTTTCTGTGATTATTCACTACTACAATATTCAGCGAATGTATCACCATTAAATAAGAGGAACTGATTAGGAATAATTAGGACATTTGTCGTATTTTTTGCGTAAAGACGGTTTTCACTGTATTGACTTATATACTTCCTTCAGACATATCTTTACCGTGCACAACGGAAGCGATCGTCGAGAGTAAAGAAATAAAGAATAGCTGGACGGACGTAAGTGATATCTCTACTCCAGAAGCTGTCACGCAAGAGCTGGTCTCAAAAATTGATGCTCTTCTTAAGGATGAAATCAGCGTTGTCGAAATACCAACTGAAGTTGGAGCGAATATTATTTCTTGTTTAATTTCTCTTTTAATATGCTCACCACAGTGATCAACATACGAATCTGTTCTATCTTCATTTTACTTATTCAGGGTATGGATAAACAAAGACGTACCCTTATACATGACTGGATACGCAACCGATATAATGGTCTTTTGGATTCACAAACAGTTTCTAGTGTCATTCGAGTTCTAGTACCGGATAAACGAACTAGGTAATTTGCTGTTCAGTATTGGTCATGAAAATTTTGAAAGAATTAACATCTTCTTAATTTTCATTGAATTCATTGAATGTTCAAAATTTCGAAAGTTATTTTTATTATAGGAAAAGAAAGACTTGGCCAGCAGATCGCCCCGATTATGTTCATTTCACATTATGTAAAGAAAACAAAGATACGCATTATGCACTTTCTGTGATTTCTAAGTTCTTGGGGTATGTTTTGTTTGTCGTACAGTATTTTTGTTCGGGATACTTAATATCATATGAATATAATTTAGGATAAAAAGCTCTTCATTTGGTATTTGTGGTACAAAAGATCGTCGAGCTCTTACAACACAACGAGTATCATTGTATCGATGTGAAATTGAGCGATTGAAAGAGCTTAACACTAAGCTACGTGGCATAAGGCTTACTGATTTTACTTCAAGTTCAAAACCATGCAAATTGGGTGATCTTTGGGGGAATAGATTCAAAATTATTTTAAGGTTAGTCTAACCTTAAATTACTTTAAAGTTAGTTTTTTTCTTGTATTTCCTCATGAATTTCTTTTTTTGATTTCGAAGTTCGGAATCGGAATTGTTCAGCGTAACGTAGCGTGCTTCTATTTGAAAAGTGTTCAGTACAGAATCATGCAATTATAGAAATGTTCATCCGTTCAGCGAAAATGATTTGATCAATAGAATTGATGATTTCAAGTCAAACGGTTTCATCAATTATTTTGGAACTCAGCGTTTTGGATCGTGCGCTTTTAATACCGCAGAAATTGGTATTGCAATTTTAAAGAAGCAGTGGGAAGTTGCCTTGAACGCAATTTTGAAACCACGGAATGCACAAGGTAGAAATTTGTTTCCTGTGGATAAAGGTGTTTTTTTTAATGGGATACTTTAGAAATGTGATGTTTGTTTCGGCCAGAAATTACTTTATTTAATGATCTTCAGGAAGTATTCGAGAAGCTCTAGATGAATGGAATAAATCAGGAAACGCTTCTCTTGCTTTGAAAAAACTCACAGGCAGTCAGGTAGGTATGGTTAGCAATATGTTATAGGGAATGTTAATATTTCAGTGGTTTCAGCGTTTCAGCGTTAATTTCAATGAACTGGGAAAAAACTAAAAATTTTTGGAAATAAAACGATGGATACTCTGGTTCCTACAACAATTCTTCATTGTTCCTTGTAATTTCAGTCATATGCTACCATCGAAGGGCAACTTTTATCATCTCTTAGCAAGAACAGACGCGATTATCGCGGTGCTTTGTTAAAGTTAGCTCGCAATACACGCAGTCTTTATGTTCATGCTTACCAGAGCTTGTTATGGAATAAGGTATTTGCTTATTTTCAGTGCCGTAGCTTAGCGTAATCTTATGATGTCACCGTTTATTTATTTTTTTTTGAATATTGCAGCCAATGAGTTACAAATACTCTAGGATTTCATATGTGTGTGTATTCTTAGAATATGATAAATGTAATAAGTTGAAAATTTATACCATTTTGAATTGCTTAAAGGTTGTTAGTCGACGTGTAAAAAACAAGGGATTTCATGCGATCAGCGGTGACTTAAATCTTCGAGGTCAAGTAATCAAAGATTTTGAAAACGAAGAGGTAGCTTTGCCTCTAATATCGGGATCTGTTAAGTTTCCCAATAACGAAGGTTTGCTTTAATTTTCTTTTAAAATCCATTCACTGTTCTTGTTATGCATGGATACAGAGAATTAACATTTTTTAGACGATAATTTGTTCGTTTTATTAATAAGACTTCGAGTTTTAACCAGTTTTATCAAATGGAGAAATTGGAATGTTTAAAAAGTTGACTTTTAATTGCTGATAGATAAACTAGCGATTGGCGAACGACTATTACGAATGTTTTTTTCAGTTCGAGATTGGTATGCAGAAATAATGGCTGAGGATGGCGTAACATTAGAGATGTTCGAAGCATTAGAGAAGCATGTTTATTAATATTTCCCCTGTGGAGCAAAAGTAAATAGGCTTTTCTACTAATTTATTACCAAATATTTGCTTTTTTTCTAGAGAATGGACAATAGGCTCCGTGATGCGTCCTCTTATAACCAAACCTCAGAATGTGAAGTATAAAATATTGACCTATCCTGAAGCCAGGACAAAACTGCAAACAGATTTTGAAGGAGATATAGATTCAAAAAGTATTGGAACTGGCGATTTCCATGCGGTAGCTTTAGAATTTTCTTTGTCATCAGGTTCTTATGCTACCATCGCTTTACGCGAAATTACAAGGTTACTGGTTTTTTGCTGTAGAAAATTAAAACATTTTCCTTTTTGTGAATTCTGTATTTTTATACATAGTGTTCTATTGATCAGATGGTATTAACTATCCCATTACGTGGAATGAGATAATTTGAGACGGTAGACCTTTTAGTTATGGTTTGTGTTTGTAGAAGAAATTTTTATCGCAGCGATAAGATTGCTTGCTTAGAAGTTACCAGACAATAAAGTGAAATTTATGTAAGCTATGAACTTTTTTTTGCAGGTGTGATATGAGTAAATTGGCTCAGATGTCCATAGCTCAAAGTGAAAACGATTTTCCAGAATCTTTTTAAAACTTAAAGAAGTATTATATATGAACGGCAAGCAAATTAATATCACTGATGTTTGAAGTTCTGTTATAACTCAAAACACCATACGATAAAAATCGAAAAATTGTTGAACTGATGACAAATAAAGCTTTTAGCTTTGTCTCTCTGGTTTTTTTTGTCATTATTCAGCAATGAATATCTTTTTGAAAGCTCGTTTCTGATTTCGATTAATTCTTTGCTGTTTTCATCGATGTTTTTTGATAATTATTTGCATCGAGTAAAAATAGCTAAATGCTTTGGAAATATTATTTATTCCAAAAGCACTATTCCATTAACCCAAAGCAGATCTGATTTAATTCAGTGTATGATCGTGTTCGGCGTATTATTAAAAATTCTGTGTTTGTAAAGATGTTGTGGATTCCAGATAATTAGTGCAATAACTCAGATATTGAATAATGAAATTGAGCGTCAAGAGTTCAGATGGCAAGATAGAGGTCTTCGATGGGATAGATGATTGGAGTTTCTCAACTTTGCGTCGTCAAGTAATCCAGCGGTTCAATTTGAAATGGTATGGAAGTGGTTATTTTTCCCTATGTTTTATGGTTTTACATTTTTTGACTAATATGAGTTATATGAGTTGCTGGAAGTGGGTAAGGGCGTAAGATTAACTTTGGATTTACGTAACTACTCCCAATTTCCACTAGCCTGAGTTGAATCTTTCAGGAGCCCACGTGCGTCTTGCACAGCATATAGTCTCAATACCAAAGAGAGCTGTACTGAATACCGGTAACTCTGGTGATTTCGTCTTCCCGTGACCTAGTGGTGGGTTTTAGTTCACTTGATTTGTTATATACGGTTTATTTGATTTCCTAAGATAATTTCCTGAGTTTGGTTTCAGCGATTTTGCATTGTTTTTCGGTAGTCGTGAGTTGCCGGTAAATGATACAAAGCTTTTTGAATCAGATATGGAATTCGTTAGTGGAGATCGTCTAAGATTGGTCGTAAATGGAAAGGGGTACGTGCTTTGCTTGCTTTTTCTTTACCCGTATTACTCACAGAAATAATCAAGAATTTGAAAAGATCTTGAACAGATTTTACGAAAATTTCTTTCTAGAAAAATACGTTGTTAACTAGGATAATATTGCTTTAGTTGCATTATTATTTTTGAACGTTCCTAAGCCATATCGTAAGTTCAATTCCAGTATAAGGATATCACTGCAGCATCAGTTATGTTCTTTCTATTATTCAGGCTTTCTGCTGATACAAGCGGATGCTCTTCAGAATTTTGGACAAGAACTGGAAGTAGCAATTTGGATAATGCGAAAAAAAATGAAACCGTTTTCGAAGTTGTGTTTGATGAAATGGAACGAAATGGGTTTGAAGTAGGATTTGTTTTTGCACTAGTTAGAACTAATTTTGGTTTAGCATAAGCCCTAATAAAAAAGAGGGGCTCATCATTTTGATCTTCATACACTCACACAATTATAAATTTGGTGCATACAAATATTTTGTGATAACGACTTACAATTCATCATTGATTGATGCAAACGTGTCAAGAAAACTTGACCCGCTGGAATGATAATATCACTGTTTTTTGTGTCACTGACGGGAATTCCAACAGCCAGTGGCAGATCAGTCAGAATAATATAGTGGGTTATATCAAAAGAAAATATTAAGGAAACGCTGACGGGAAAGAGGGAGGGAGGGAGAAGCGATGAAAAGAAATAGTGCGGCCAGCTGCCATCCACCCTCACAACTTCAGAAAGTATCTGAGTGGTTAGTTAACTCTGCAATCTCGGTAAACTTTTGAATAAGACGGTATAAAGTTAGTTGAGTAATTCTTTTTTTCTGTTTGAAATAGAGGTTGCTCACATTTTTTGTGAAATCTTATGCTAAAAAAAGTGAAAATAGGTGTATTTATTCAACTGTTTCTTTTTTGTTTTGTATTTTATAACTAACTCAGTTGAACTGGCATTTGCAATGGAATTTACCTGTTCTTTTAACTCAAATTTTTTAAAACACCTCTGTAAGCTGAACTGATTCCAGCGCGTAGGACACAAAGAAGGTGATACGCGTTGGACATTTCGTCATTCGGATTCAGTTCTTGTTGTTGAGATCGATTTTCGTGTTTACAATGACCGACTGGTGAAGTATGTTCACGCTACTGCTAGCATTTACCATCCTTCCGGTCGGCAGTTTCTAGAACCAGTTGTTTTAGAGGAAAAAAGCAATGATTTGAAAAAGAAGGTTTCCGAGTGTTTGGTTTCACCACTGAAGTTAGCGTTACTGGGGCGTGAGTATTTAAACTTGCATTTTTTAATATATTTAAAAATATTTAAATACATTTATTAATATTGTGAAAATATCGTTAACTGACCTAGAGCCTTGCTTTATTTCTATTTGAGTATTTGAAGTGCTTATTCACAATGGTTTTCATTGGCAACCAAAATCCATTCATTCAAATTATGCTATATATCTATGTAATTTCGATTAGAAGCTCTTTGAGAAGGTAGAATTAAAAGTTCGGAATTAAATGATGCACAACATTCCTTTCTTGAGTATGCTGCGAGATTGTTAAAGCACCAAATTTGCGATTCATAATTTTTTCAAGCTTCATAATTGCTGTTATGCTGTTACTTCTGGGATTACCAAATGCAGATGGTATCTTTATGGCAAAATAATTTTTTAGATGAAAATCCGTTCTTACGTTTGCTTGGGATTGGAGTGATAGCTGAATACTTGTTCGAAATGTTGGATGCTAAGAGCGTGTTACGATTAGAGAGAACAAATAAATATGCTCTTAAAATATGCCGAGGTCAAGGAATGGAAAGAATTTGGAAACTTTTCTGTCAAAGGGATTTTGGAAAAGGTAACTGTTGGGCTTTTTAAATCATATTTCTTCAGTTCATTTGATTAAAAAGTGGAATCATTGTAAATTGAAGTAAAATATTACTTTTTTCAAATATAGATTTTATTTGAGATGCTGCTATATTAAAAAAAGAATCATATCGCGAAGCATACAAGAGGTTGCACGTTCGACATGCGCGAGAGCTTAATTTTTTGCGAAATCTACTGGAACCTGATTCTCACTGCGATGTTCCTGTTCGCGTATCTTTCCCACATCCAACATACGGACCGAGAAACCCTGATCCTGATATTCCTGAAGGCCCATTCCAATCTCCCTCTCATAATCCATATATGCCAAATCCCTTCCCATTTCCTGGTCCAGGAAATCCTCTCCATCCCTTGTATGGTCGTGAATTATTACCGAGCCGTCCCGTTAGACCTAGCGGTATTCCTAGAGTGTTCCCACGCGGTCATCGTCCGCCAAATCAGGGAAATATCTATCGTGATTACATGTAATATACAATGAATCCAATGGTCCGGTGGACGGGTGTATCTTCATTTCGCTCCGATGCACCATATTTCTTGTGTTCGTTTATATACTGATTTGACTAAAATTACGCTGAACTGCATAAATTTTTTGTCTTAAGAATTTTGCATATTAGCAAACCTTCTAGAACCAATTTCTTATCACTCTCATGATCGGCGTTTGCTCATGACATTTTGCGACGTCTCAGTGATGAATAAGGAGTTACTGTAAAAATTTTTCAAAAATTAATAGGTGACTGAAAAAATTTTTTGGTTGGAGAATTTGATTTCCAATGTCACGTGGGGATGCCATCACTTGCCGAAATGTGTATTACAATGAAAAAAATGGAGAACAATTGTAGCATATCCTTTTTGGTTACTAAAAAAGCAGTAGTGATGAATCAGTCGGAGCGTTTTTGTTCTGGGCAATTTCATGAGCCACTTTCGAGACCTTTAGAGTTTATGTTAGCGGAAATTTTCAACAGCAGAATAGGAGTGGGAAAGATCTTTTTGGCTAAGATACATGAAAGATAGTGTGGTAAAGTAGGAAAATGAGTTCGCTTAAGCCAAATCCATCAAAGAAAGTTTCTTCAGTCGTGCAAAATGGATTCGTGGTAATTGTTTAGAACTAGTAAAACCATCTTTGTACCTTGAGCGGTTAAGCTTCAAAATAAAATCGAATGAAAGTTATATCAATTAACTTTGTTATAAATCATTACGCATCACCGTATTCATCGCTACTTCTGTACCAGCACTCGGCTTTAGCTATGATCAAACTCGTTTTCCTACTTGATCAATGAATGACTTATCGCTAGGATATTTATGCAAAAATTTTAGCAACTTTATGTATTTTCCAGTTTTGTTCATTTGTATAAGCAATTTTTTCCATCTGCCCATCACCATAACAAGAAAACAAAATTGCATGGATGTATGACTTCTAAAATTTGGTCAGTGATTCGCTGAATTCTTGGTACAGCAAATTGGCCTTCGCGTTATGTGGATTTTACTGCTAATTAATTTATATTTTGGTGGAAAGTCATTCTATATGCAGCGTACACTTCTCCATCCCATACATAAAAGTCAATTTGTAATTTGGATATCAACAATATGCCATCACCTGAGAATTATATACAAAATAAAAGTTGAATTTAATTCTATCAATAATGGTTTTCACCGCTCATCATTTTTTATGAATCTTTTGTCTTCATAGCTACCATTCTGCAATTGCTCGTTCATTATGATAATTATCTGGTTATTAACATATCAATGACGTTTTTCCTTACGAAAAGTCTAGCAAATATATTAATTGAATAGATAATTGTATTCAATGGTAGAAGGAAATGTTGTGACAACGGGCACTTTAATCATTTCTTACATTGCTCATATTATCATATAAAAATTCCCTTTCTTTCTACACACGCTGGAATAGTTGAGAATAGAAGAACTCTTCCTATTGAAGAATTTTCAACTATTGTGGGAAGTCTGAAAATGTAAACACTCAATTGTTAATTGGTGGTAGGGAAGCTCCTAACTATTGAAATTGCTGAAAAACAAGGAAGCCGAATCCATATTGGTTTCACAGTGCTGCATCAATTGGAAATATTAAATATTATTAATTGAATAGATCGAACAGTGATTTATTCTGAAATATTTTAACTTCACTAATTCATTCACTTGATCTGAAGAATTTTATTTTACATATAAAATAAATGTGATGAGAAAGAGGGAAATTGCACTTTTAAATTTTCAGTAATCCCTGATCTTTAGGAATTGTTATCCAATAAACACAATATCCTGTAGAAGAAAAAAATTCATACAAGCTAATGATTCTAAAGCGCGAAACATCCGCTCTTGGTTTTTAAGTGATCGCGAAGGAAGAACTATCAAAGGAAATATGAAATTATCCTCAATCACTATACAGGTGAAGAATATCTATCTTACCGGTGATACATTCAATCCCTTCCCTCCTCTTCTATTGAAAGAAATAACGGTATCTAATGCATTGGAATGCATTGTGAAGTAAAGCGAAATATGAAAGATAATGAAACAGCGCAGAATTTTTTTTATTTATTATGAAATGGTAGTAGAATTTAGTATCTATATTTAATTCCTTTGTCATCATCATAAGGCATTGCTCACAATTTTTCAGGCAACTATCATATATTGCATTAGTTTTTTTCCATATATAAACATTTAAATTGCCTTTTTTAAACTTTTTCTTTTCTCACAACAATTCCAACATTTCCAAATACTTGAATTCAAAAGTTTGCTTCGGATAAAGATTTAATATGAGATGTTATGCATGTAGTAGGGAGGAGATTTTAGCTGCTACTGTTGTCAATTAACCCTTTAACATTGCTTAAAAAGACAAAAGAACTAGTTCTGGAATTCTTAAATCTTTCTAAATCTCGTTTAAACATTCGTCAATTCTCTTCAAATACTTCAGAATTTTTATTGTTGCTTCCATTCAATTCTAGTTTTTATATTTTGCATTAAGCTATTATTGTATTGTTTTGTAGGATGGAATCTGGATGAAAAAGTTTTCGTATATGGAAAATGTTGCATGGATACCTACATATATGTAAATAGGTGTTATTTGTGGTACTATAAAGTTCTTTATAATTTATCATCCATGCATTGTAAAAAATGCAAAATGTAGTGGTAATTAATAGTAGAAGAAATTAAAATATACATTTGAAAAAATTAAGGAAGGAATAAATTGATGCACATGAAAAATTGATTAAAAACTATGAAGGCCATGAAAATTAAATGAGATCGATCTCATGATATCACCATAAAATGAACATGTGAATAAATCATACGTTAACTTTCTTCTCTATCAAAAATACGTAGAGCTAAAGTGCTTATAAAAGACACATTTTCTGAAAGTTTGTTAAACAATTTTGAAATCAAACATCGTCACAATTAGCGTATCCAGCAGTTCAAAATCATTTCATTCTTTAATTCTCTTTCTTCTTTCCGTTAGATTTTGTTTAAAATTCTCATTCATTGATTCCAATTGTAACAAGGAATCTTGGTACAAGGAATCAAAGAAATTCTACCTGTAGAAATTCCTTTTATCCTTTTTCTTCGAGTTGTACTTTGATGCTTATACTGATCTATCGCCTGTTTAGTTCACTACCATTCCATTTCCCGTTGCTGCTTTCACTTCAGACTCCTTATTTATTCACTTACTGACGTAAAGTTCCTGTAAAATGTATCGCTTAATGCACAAGTATGTGCTTCTATATTTTATGGATTTATTTTATTAGAAACGTTGTCGATGATAGTCAACATGAAGATAAATATGCCTGATCTTTTTGATGATGCCAATGATAAGGGAAATAAGAGAGTTCCATAATTTCATGAAAACAAAAAAATGAATTTATCAATTTCTCTAGATTAAAGTCAAAGTAAAAAATTACGTGAAAGATTGATTCTTTCGTGTTGAAACAATTTTCATGTAGAATTATGATCTGAAAAAAGTTGGAGCAATGAAACAAAATTTCGGATGTGATTTCATCTGTCACTTTGCAAATCCTGTAAAAATGAACCGAAGGGTCACTATGATAAATACAATATTCAATAACCGATAGAACTGACAAATGGATATGGTTTTAATATTAGGCGAAAAAATGAAATTTAGTTTCTCGAACTTATTTGAATTTTTCACGGAGTTGAACGAATTAATAGAATTGTGTAAATTATTTAGTTAAATGTTTCAAGCAAATTTTCATGAACAAATCTGTAAAGTCTTTTTAAAGTTCTTTTATTCCGACAAAGTTAATGATCGATATGCGTTACGCATTATTACTGAATTAATAAATCTTTACACTCCACTTTGGTCAACATGTTTTTATCAATTCATTTTCACTAATATTTTTTTATTATTATTGTTGATATGATTGATATTTATTAATTGATTCTGTTTGCTGCTCAAACGATATATTTTTATTAGAGTAGTAGAAAAAAATATTATCAAAGGAAATGGTATTATTTTCATTTTAATTAATTAACATTTAAGAACTGATTTCACCTGCTAATTGATTGTTGTTATTCCTTAAGTTATTATGAATTACTAAAACTTTATAAATAATCAATAAGGATACCTATTACATAAAGATACTCGTTTACATAAAGATTACACAACTAAAAATATTTGAGTAAAGTGTAATTAATCAATTTAACCTGTATTCTTGCGGTATGATACATTGAGCTCACATTAGATAGAAGGAAGGGTCCTTATTTTAATAACAATAAACATCTTTCTCGTTCTTTCCATTCAGTTCCGTTCCTTCTTTTAATGAAATTTTCATTGGTAATCTTAGATCTACAAATAGTATTATCAGAGGAAATGATTATTTTCATTTATGAAACTGCCTATTATAGCAGAGAATAATAGGCAGTTTCATAAATAAGAATAGAGAATAGGCCAGAGGGTTCAGAGTTCACTTGTTCTCCAAGGAGAATTACCATAACAGTCTTTGATATTGTTAAAAATTCGCATCTCTTCAATTACCATGTAATTACCATGTAACATGTAACCATGTAACTTCGAAACATTCCTACTCTCTTCTTTCAAAGATATCGGTAAATTTGAAAGAAGAAGAAAGAATTCCATAAATTACGCAATCGCCAATTTGAACTTCGCTTCAGGAGTTTTTGTTTGGAAATTGTGATTTTTTTTTGTAGCAAAGCTCAATGTACTAGATAAATAAATGATTAGAGAGATATTAGATGATAGACCGATGATAAATGAAAACGAGTGGATAAAAAGATAGACGCAGACAGGAGGTAGAACTATGAATGGTCATATACAAAGATATAGGGAAGGAGAGAGAGGGAGGGGAAGAGATAGATGATGAATGATAGATGGTGAAACCGTTCAGTTACGTAATATTGTCGGTAGGTGTAATAGATGGTTGGGTGAAGGCAAGACAGTTCACGAGATATTGGAAATAACTTGCAGCACCTTGTTATGTGTTACCTTG